AAAAAAAAAAACTGACAAATAGCTCTTACGTGTCACGCATGAAATTTATGTTGAGCAAGTGTCGTTATCCGAAATCAGGCTATCGGGGCCAAGTGTTGCTGAATTAAAACATTTTAATGGAGCGCACGAGATGTATCCCTTCTTACACTACAGTAGATTTCAATGCCCAGCCACGCAGCTTCTTTGCTACTCATGCGAAATCATTTTTTTGAATTGTGAAGACACAGCGTACAAAATGCCACCCAGTGCGGCTAGCCCAACGCCGGACGCAGCTAGAACCGCAATAAACTCCTTCCGCGTCAAAGGGTCCTTCTTCACAGCTTCCACGATTGCTTCTGAAGTCTGCTGTCGTCTGAGTCTAGCATTGCGAGCAGCCACGTGCGCAGCTAGCACAGCAGCAATCCTCTCTTCGTTACCCTCTTTGTTCTGATGGCCAACCCTGTTGCCAGAGTCGAGATATCTTGAGTCAGACTTAGAAGCAATAACCTTGACCGAGGCGGCATTATCCGCGCTACTCAATCCACTGCTGATCCCGACGAGCGTGGCCACGAGAAGGAGGAAGCAGGTACGACGCATTGCTGAGTTGGTATATAGCGAGTTAGGCGATCAGCGACTGTGCGATGATTTCGAAGTGGGTTTCAAGCCGGTATTGCATGTAGGATGAAACTATAATAGTTTAAGTTTTGCACGTTGTTGGGCTACTGCCAACGAGCTGTTGCTCGGAGGATTAACATCCAGCAAAGCTGGGACTAAACATTTAACTGACGAATCTGTCCGTTGTCCTGGACCCTCTCTTACCGATTGCACCTTTCTTTTAGCCTTCTCTTCTTCAAAGCTTAACACTGGAAAGTCTCCTGCGATATTGATTTGCATCACTATCCAGCCTGCATCAGGCAATCATGCATGACGAAAAAACGCGATCTGATTGGCTACGCACTAAATACGTTTTCGGACTTTACTGCAAGTAATCGAACCTAAGTGCGAGAACCTGCGACACTGACTCAAGAGCGACAAACGGTTACAGTGTGGCATCACCAAATGTAGGGTCGACACCCCTTCTTCTACACCTTTGTGCACTCAACTTCGTAGAAAACGGCAGTCAAACTCGTAACTTAAAAATTGGCAAATAGAAAATTACGATAAGAGACCCTAATCAGTATTCAATGTTGAAAATACGGCAGTCAACGTCGTAAAAGATTTGCGCGACCGATTCGCGCCAAAATGACAGGCTCTGCTTAAGTCGCGAAAAGTCCGAGGTTTGTACAACGCGCTCAGAATACACAGAGGTCTGGTTCATTTGCCGGCTGTCGCTAAGATGCCTTCCCGAATCACGCCCCACACCCTCATCGAGTCCTTGAAGCCCATCGTGTCGGTCCAGAAGACTGGCTAGCTGTTGCCCGTTTCAATGGTATCCCTGTGACTACTGCCTACGACATAGTACGGCGTGGACGCGTGGACAACCTCCCTCGGGGAGGCGCGAAGCACGTGAAGATGACTCCTGGAGCCGGGGTCATCCTGGAGGAGTACTTAAATGAAAACTGTACCTACACGTTGGACACCATGAGGACAATGTTGTTTCTTGACTGTGGAGTTAAGGTGGCCACGTCGACAACTAGCCGACACTTGAAGGGCATGCTGTTTACCGTTAAACAAGTGAGAGTCGAGCCCACAACGTGTAATAGCGACCGTAATATCGAAAGCGACGTGTGTTCGCCGTGAAATCAAAGGAGCATCACGACGCAGGTAACTGTATCGTTTACTACGTTGAAACTAACTACAACATCTATCTAAAGCGCTTGCGAGGGCGATATAGGCGAGGAGAGAGGGCCGTGCTCAGCCTTCCACCCTTCAAAGGGGCCAACCTCCAGGTCCAATGTGCTGTTTCGTCAAACATTGGGCTGGTGACGTACTGATTGGAACATGGTAGCATTCGTATGGAGAAGAATGCTGCTTTCGTCGAGGAGATTTAGAGGGCAGTCAAGGCGTCGCAAGAGTTCCGCAGCTTCTTTCAGAGCAAAAAGATTGTCGTCGATCTTGATAATGCTCCCGCCCACCGACAGACAGAGGATCGCGTTACCGAGCACGAAGACATGGATCTGCTACGACTGGGGCCGTACTCCCCATGTGCAATCCCATCAAGGGTTGTTTCAGCGTGTTAAAGGTAAACATCAAGAGGCACTTAGCAATCTACCGCGAAGAAATTTGCGATCGCAGCCGTCCATTAGACGAGAACGGAAAAGTTAAAACGCTCGCTGGAAGGCAGATGCGCGTTCTGGAGAGGGCTGCTAAGGCGGAAATCAAATGCATGATATCGGTTCTGGTGTCTCGTATGGAGCTTCACTGCAGCAAGGCTGTCAACGTTGCTGCTGAAGTAATACCTATGGTCTACGGTAAATAATCAACGAGGTTGATTGCCGTATCTTCAACATTGAATACTGATTAGGGTCTCATACCGTAATTTTTCTATTTACCAATTTTTAAGTTACGAGTTTGACTGCCGTTTTCTACGAAGTTGAGTGCACAAAAGTGTAGAGTATGAATTGATTCTGTTGATTGGATCGCCAGTCAAACAAATAATAAAAGTATAAAACAATACTGTAGAATAAACGATTTTTTGTGAAAGCAAACAAATGTGCATTTATTCATCAAAGCTTTCATCTTCGATGACCGAAGCATCATCGACAACAGCAGCTTCTGGCAGTGCGTGCAGGTACGTAGCGAAGACATCGGACACATCTCTAGGACCTAAAGGAAGCAGTTTTGCCTTTCGAATGCTTTCGCTATTAAGAAAGATACCATCACACGGCGTTCTGTTGTGTCAGCTGGGAAAGGATGCTCGGTATGATAATGCACGTAGAGGCCTCTAAAAATTTTACGCACAAATTATTATCAAAAATTAGTGAGCAAATAAAAATATTAAAAAAAACTTACTCGATATTCTTTTTGAAGGTCCGCATTACGCTGACATCCATTGGCTGACATAGGGCAGTAACACCCAGAGGGGATGTACTGAATCTGTGTCGTGCACTCGGTCTCGAGCGTTTCGCGAATGCTTGCCTTCTTGTGAACTTTTAGACTGTCCAAAAGCAGCATGCGGCGGCCGGTGACACTTGGACGCCAAATCTAATAATTTAAAAAAGAAAATCCTTAATTAGAAAAAAAATTAAATCAATAATTGAGACAACTATACCTTTGAAATCCATTCATTCATAATGGAATGGTCACACCAGGCTTTTTCTTGTACTGTGTGCTCCACTGACATGCAACCAAAGGACTGCGATGTAACTTGACTAGTAACTGGGCACCCCGGGTTTCCCGCAAACACAATAAATGGCTTCAACTTTACTCCTGTTGCTGACGCGCACCAAAAAACGTTGCATCACCCTGTGCTTTCGGCTGCGTCTTGAACGATGCCAAATATCGTGTTCCACAATAATCCACTGTTAATTTTCCGGGGTTGTCAATAAAGACAGCTGTCTGGTCTATGTTGAAGAGACTTGAGTGCTTTATCTTATAATTGGTGTGAAAAGACAAGATTCCGTCAATTTCTACTGCAACGTTCACCGAATTCGCAAACGAATCCGCAACATTCTAAAAAAAAAAACGTTAGAACTACCAAAAAAAATATAGAACTACCACTAATTAGGACCAACCTGCATATCGTTACGCGTTTTTGATCCCTTGTGCGTAACGCGCCGAATCACAAGGCGATTTCTCTTAAGAAATCGCGCAGTCCACGATCGAAGAGCAACATAGTTGCGAGACCGGATCGCACTTTGCCATCATTAAAATGAAGCACTTCGTAGTTACACAAAGTTTGCGGTTTTTCTCATTTCTGAAACATATTCAAGAAGCCTAGACTTTACAGCTAATAGATTAGAAAAAATAAGAACTTGAAAATGAAAAAGCCCAAACCCTTTTCTTAATCAGGATAGCGCACTCGCTGTGCCTCATGTACCTTGAATTTACGTAGAACTTGCTTCCATTCTTCTTGTCACCTTCTAGTTGTGTCTTTTGCTTTCTCCAGCGGTATACAGACGAGTGATGCACGCCCATCTGTACCACGACAGTGGCGACAGAGTTTGCTTTTGAGACTTCGACTCCCTATCAATATTACATTAAAAATGACTTAGAATTAAGTATGAGGTATGTGATACGTGATTACATACCTTCAGCTTGACCTTGTTCTTGTTCTTAGGGCAGCGCTTCATTGTGTGCTTGTGTGACATGGGTTGGAAGGCGGGAAGTTTGCTCAATGGAGCGCCACTGGTTGTGAGGATGGATGTCGCTCAAGCGGGTCATTTAAAAAAAACCTCGTAAGGGTTTTTAAATGACTTGATTTTTACCGCTAATCGGTGTCGCACTTGGAGCCGACTTTTGCGGTAGATACTACTGATTGGACGGAAGACAAACATTTCTTCCAGGAGCCAAACATACCTATTGGATGAAAACGCTCTGCGTACCTGTATGACTGTAAATAGAACTACCATTTGCTATACGAAAACTGTCATGTGTAGCTGAAAATCTGGCACGGTAACTTTCTTTATTTGCTAGCATGCAAGCTCTGCTCCAAGCTTGCCTGATCTACGATTGGTAGACTCGCGCGGTCCCTGGGGCTAGCGATAGCTGCACCTGGACACAAGTGCTCTTTGGATCAGGCAACATATTGACCATGCACGCGTGCAGTATATATGTGTATAATTTACAATAATGTCCTTAACCCTTTCGTGAACATACACTTTTGACCTGGCGATACTAAACTATAGAAGGTCAAGTCATTAGGCCGTCAAAAGGGACATTTTGCCCCCTTTCATAACCTAAGGTACTACAGCAAATCCTTGTAATTCAAGTAGAAAGGGCGATTCTGCCTCGTCCACACACACAATTTAATGAAAGAGGGCAAAATGCCCTTATTGATCACGAAAGGGTAAACTGGCAAATTGTAATTATTACTTTTTACTTTCTCATTACGACATGTAATTTGAATGTTGGTCTGATTTACATTTCCACACGATAAGAGCGGCACTCGAAGCGCGCTGCGACTACAGAAATGCACGTGGGTTATAATGTGTGCAGGGCACGGTGATATTATGTGCAGTATGTATATTTGATTATGTGTTAGTGCAATTTTTTTAATTACTACTGAGTAATGCTGCCTGCTCCTCTCTCTCAGCTGACACAGTGAGAGTACATCCAGCGTATGCAACGACAGCACACAACAGCCATTGCGATCAGAGCTAGGTTCTCCCGTTGCGTGCACTAGGGATAAAATATAAACAGAGCTAGACCGAACCAACTTCTAGATTAATTCACAGCTTTATTATTACGTGTAAAAATACGGTGAAAAAGAATAAAGTTTCGCAATCTTTAATTTGGATATCATGCGCGAGGTTTATTGTATGACAATTATTTCAGCTATAACAGGTGTGTATGCAAATAGACTACCTTTTTCATGTTGCCTTTCATATTTCCAATTTAAAGTTGCACGAATGCGTGATTGTTAAATGCAATGCTTGGATATGAAAATATACTATAGAAGAACTCTACAATTGTAGATTTTAGCTGGAACGCACTGTACTCGCTGTCATGCGCTTGATATCTGCTGAGGATCGGATACGACAGTAGTGGGCAATTGTGCAAGGCCATATTGCAATTGTGTGTTGCTTTGAAAACCGAAATCTGTTAGCCACAGTATCAAAAAGAACAGTTACTTTAAATCTGCAACTTGATTATTGTGTTTTGCGGCTATATCAGACGAGAACAGAAAAAAATGACGAGAGTTCATGTATACAGGTATAATAAAGGCTGTATACAGCCTTGCAACATTTTTTTTTATCTGGTTTGCGCAATCACATCATCGTATATGACACGCCAAAACGCAGCGGAGGTGGGGTCGACCTACACTAAGCCAATTAACCATGCCTAAAGCGTCCGCGTAGCGAACGCTCAGAGCTCTAGTCAACTAGTTAACCCCCATCAAAGGTAGCACGACGTGTGTCTGTCATTCCTTCCGAGGGTAGGGTTAATAACTAGCCGAGTGCTGCCCGCTTTGCGTGCGGATGGGCATGGTTGGTCCCAACCCGTGGAGCTCGCTGTTCCAGCTCGCCCCACTACTACGCAAAGCCCACCTTCGATTCGCTCGGCAGGGGTTGGAGCCTTGCTACATGTAAAGTCCCAATCTGTGGTCGCTGTTTCAGCTCTACCCCACAGTACTCCATAGCCCCCACCTTCGCTTCGCTCGGTGGGGGGTAAACACGTACTTTATCAAAGACCAATTCATATGCACAGTGGACATGTATTTTTTGTTATGAAATATGCAATGTTCCCCTACTTCCTCCTGCTTACATCTCGAATATCTGTCGGTAGACTACATTCTGCGTGTACGCTCCGTCGTCTTCCACGTGCTCTGGATACTCGATCATCACCTTGAGTCTCGACCGCGCCGTCACTCTCGACAGCACCACATACAGATGTCCGTGGTAAAAGCAAGGACTTGACAAATACAACCAAATTCTGCACCGTTTGTCCTTAGGCCTTGGTGATCGTCTTGGCAAACGCTGGTTGCACCGGAAACTGCTTACGGCGTAGACGGAAAGGGAACTCACGCATGTCCCCGTCACTGAGGAACACAACCCGCGGAATGAACACATCTTGGCCATGGCGCTCACCTGTCATGATAGTCGCGTGGATCGCATGCGGTTTTAGCTCAACAACACGTTGCACTGTCCTAGGTTGGGGTTCCAGTTCCGCATCATCATGATCGGAGCACCCTTCTTCAGCGTTAACTTGTGCGGCGGGATACCGTTCATGTTCACTGAATGCAGGATTGACTTCGTGTCTCCCTTCACCAACTTGAAGAAGGAAGTCGGAGAAGGCTGTAAGTTCCTCTGCCGTGGTTTCGTTTCCAGCAGATCTCACTCGCATATTCTCTGTGAGATGAACTTGTTCGAACTTGCTCCACAACTCCGACGACTTAAGATACGCACTGATGGTGTCCGCAGGTGTTCCCTGCGCTACCACCGGAAGAATCTGTCTGAAATCACCCGAAAGCACCATTACTTTTCCTCCGAAAGGTTCGTCGTTGTCCAGAATATCACGTAGAGAACGGTCCACAGCCTCGAATGCGTGGCGATGGGTCATCGGAACTTCGTCCCAGATGATCAAGCTCGCTATCTCGATAAGTGCCTTCAGTGGGGAACGCATGTTGATTGAACACGTCGACTCCGCGTTCAACTTCAGCGGGATCCGGAAGGTAGAATGCGCCGTCCGGCCTCCCATTAACAGAAGCGCCGCAATCCCGCTGGACGCTACTGCAATGACAATTTTCCCAGATAAGTG